AGAATTTTTGTGTGACTGGAGTTGTTAAACAACTGTTAAGAACAGTTTGAGGTTTATTAAAGATTGGTTGCTTGTGGACAGTTGGAAGTATGGTATTGTTTGGGAGGAACATAGTGACATGTTTTAGATTGAGATGATTCTTAGTTAAAAATTTATGGTCATATGAGAATATGGAAATGTTTCCATAATGGGAGTTGATTATTAAGTCTACATGTGGATTGGAAACTTTAATGGAAGAGAGGAGTATTCAAGGAGTGTACCTTGAATTTGAAACTTCATTACCATGTAATTGTTTCTAGTAACAAAGTTCCAATGGAACATGCTGTAATATTGTTGGCTCAGTCTATGTGACTTTGAAGCCTCGACATCACGGAAGGTCAATGCATGTAAGGTTGGAATTCCAATATATTTTAGACAATGACAAGAATTTGGAATTGTGAAAGGAGCATCATTGGAATAATGTCCAGTTGATCTGTTCACAAAGGAAGGACCATAGAGATGCATAGTATGCATGTTCATAACATGCATGATTGATGTTGTTTAATCCAAGTGGTTGGTTGATTGCTCGAAACATTATACAATGAATAAAGTCGTAATTATTATGGTGATTAATTAATAGAGATTATTTATATTCAATATGTTTGAGACCATAGTTAATTAGTTTATTATTTTGTTTCACTTAGCATGTTTTACTTCCTGAATAAAATTTGATTATTCGAATTCTACAGTCGCTCATACTTTTGGAAGTAAGTAGTGAATCAAGACTGTCATGAATTGAATTGTAGATTGTCTATGGAGATTAGACATTGCAATAAGATTGCTACAATGTTCATGAATTCTTAGTAAATGGGGATTTAGAGTATTGGATAAACCCACGCTCAAAGAATTACTTCATAGATTCTATCACGAGTAATTCTGAGATGATAATATCTTATATTCTTAAAGCGAAGATATATGAGTTGTAATTTACAAGCCGGTTGTGCATTGGTGTTATGTAAACGCATCAGTAACGTGATGTTATAAAACGTAGTATCATGCATGATTTGGTGAGTAAAAGATACAAACATATGAGTCGAAATTTATCTGTTCCTTTTTCCCTAACAGGAAAAGCGATATCTTTGGGCCCTTTGATGATTTGATGTTGACATTCATTTGTAAGGCCTTGCCGGACTGAATTGATGTGTTCAATTAGTAGTCTGAATCTAGTCGTTATAAATCAGAAATCGGGAAACATAATCTTAGACTATGATATTGATTATGATCCATGTCTCACGTCCATACGACATCTTGCAGAACGAAGGAATATTTGATCACTTATCTTAGGACCAATGTCTGGTCGGATCAGAGTTCAGAAGTCGCTTTGGAAAGCACACTTTGCTGTTTAATTTAGAAGTTATGCCCGTAATTTAGTTTTAGAATTATCCAAGTAGGAGACTGTTGGATTAGGTGTCTAAGCCAATAACTAAATTAGTATAATCTTGAATTATTAGCAAAGTTCCTTTTGGGTTTCCCTCATAACCAGATATAACTAGAAATGATATTAGGAGAAAGAGAGATAAATAATCTATTAATATAATATATTAATATATTATATCATCCACGGGGTGGACGGTTTTTGGAGCCTCCTTAGGGTTTCCAGAAGCCTCCTAGATGCAAATAAGGAAAGGATTTAAATAGAGATTAAATCTATTATTTAATTATTCAAATCTTGCTTTGTCCCTAAGTTACCTAAACTATAAATAGGACCCCTTATAGCCTCAATTTCGTTCATGCTCTTCCCATTAGGCTTAGGAACGAAAATTATACCTCTCTTCTCTCTATTCTCTTCATTCTAGGGTTTCTAGGGTTTGCCATTAGAGGCACGAGAATTCTGGTGCTTGCTTTCCAAGGTTTTTCTATAAGGAGTTTGAAGTGCTTCGTTTACTACAACAAATCAAATGTATGTAACCCTAATTATTCTATTTGATTATACTAGGTTCATTACGGTTAAATTATTTTGTTGTTCATAGCATGTTACATTCAAAGTGTTAAAGACATAGATCCTTTAGGTTGCATGTGCCCTTAAATGTTAAGTGAAATTCCGCAAGCGCATAGTTATTGTAATCTATAAAACCCATCACAAAACGCATAACAACTTAAGAACTAGCAAGATCCAATGAAAACATTCATCAAGTTCCAAGCTTTATACCTTCTGGAGTTGCGAAAAGCAATGTAGACTCTGTATCCATAAGCTTGAGCTTCAACAATCAACAAGCTTGGACTTCTGTTTCTTCCAAAATGCACCCAAAACACATAAAAAGGCTAAAGATTTGCTCTAGGGGGCTAGGGATTCGATTTGGAGGCTCAAGAGGGTGGAGGCTGATGTTAGGAATGACTCCAAGGGGTTAGAGTCCTTAAATAGGGCTCATAGCCACGAAATTAGGGTTTTATCACTACGGCGGTACGCCTAGTGTACCATAAGTTACACCCAGCGTAACACCCTAAAAACGCGTCCCCTTCAGCCTAGTACGCCCAACGTACTACCTAGTGTACGCCCAACGTACTGCTAGACTCTCTTTTCCAGCTTATCTTCAAACAGCCATAATTCTTTGTTTCAACTCCATTTTCGGCGTTCTTTATATGCAAGGAAAGGTATTAAAGAGCCCCACAATCCTATCTAATTACTTTTGACTCAACACATACTGAACTAAACTTCTTAATTCACGAAAGAAGACCGAAACATTGTTTTTCCCAATTTACCATTTGACTCCAAAACACAAACCAAGAGCTTGGATCACATAACCAATATTATCCACATCCAATGGGGTCTAAACCCTATTCCTTGAAGCCCAAGTCCTTCACTTGATCCATTTATTGTCCATAATCCCGAAATAAGAACTTCTCGAAACAGGATGCTACAATATTTTACTAAAAGTCAAATCTCTCTAAATTTTGGGTTCTTACATACATGATAACTTCCAATCCAGACGCGGTTAAGATCATCAATAACATGTGCATATTCTTTAGATTTCAGAAACCTTACAAAAGCAAATCGTTTGCCAAGCTTCGACAACTTCCGAGGAATATATACATCGGCCACTGCACCATGTCGTTCACATAATCTCCATAAATCCTTTAGAATCATAGTTTTCGGGAAATTTGTTACATAAATATTCACTGACATCTCTTCTAGTTTCTTGAAATTCATGTTAGTCTTGCTCTCAATGTTTGATCGTACATGTGGTTCTTCAATTCGAATCCGATGATTTCCATCACGTCATGGCCAATCTTCACTAATATTAGCCTTAGTCATTCTGTCGCATAAGAACACCGACAGACGTTGTCGTCTTCATAGAAGCGTCGTCGCTTGGATTGAGTCATTTTGTAATATGAAAACGACTTGGCCGTCTAGGTCAAAACTTCATTTTCGGTTTTTCCGTTCTCTCCCAAACTACACAATCCCTCTCATTCCATCCTCCTCATGACCCCCTCCCAACTTCTACTCTTTCCATTTTCCCTCTAAACTTACAATAAATTTAGTCATTCCGCCCGCCTCCCAACTACACCTTGTTCCAGTTTTTTTCTTTTTCCTTTCCGCATACCCAACTTCTACTTTTGCAATATGTTTAATGTTTTAATCTCACATGATACGACACATTCAAAGCATAATCCTAACCTGAAACCCGACACGAACTCTAAAAAAATAAACGGGTTGACATGACACTGCATGATAATTAAAAGGGTCGGGTTAGGATCAAGTCCTCTCAACTTCTTTACTGTTTCGACAGGGTACGACACATGTTTTATGGGTCTATTGTTTGGTGTAACATGACTATATTACACTTATCTTATTTTTACAAAAAAATTTTGTTTAATTTAATTTTAAATGATTATCACATTGCTTTTGTGCCCACCACCACCCCCTCACATCAACCTCCCCCTTTTTCACAATATGAACAATGATCCCCCAACCCTTTTTCTATGATTGTTGTAATAAAGCAATGGTGGCATTGGTGCCATGGACTCTTTGAGCAACCATTGTTTCCATGTAGCAAGATTGCAATTGGCAATATTTTTTGGTGGTAGAGTATGCAACTACATACTGAAAAACAAGTTTGTAGGTGATGTGCGACAAGATAGCAGAGGTGGAATAAAAAGCTTCTCTTTATGTTTGACCTTTGTTATTATTTATAATTCAACGTTTTTCGATCATTTTAAATTGAGCGTGCTTTCAGTTTAAAACATGTATTCATGAATATAATAAACTCATTATTACAGAAATCTATGTTATAGTCAAATAACATCCATTCCGTGTTGTTTTTATAAGCAAATTATTGTACTTTGTCGATTATTCTATGTAAATCATGACGAAAAAAGAACCGTTTGCGACACATTTAAAAACCAAAAGAAAATAATATTATTTAGTATATTTGAATATTATTATTTTGTGTGTTTTTATACTCGCTGAAAACAAGAAAGTCAATAAATAAATGAGAATAGACTTCTTATACAGCCAAGACTTTTCCTTTTTTCTCTTTTATTTCCTTTAGTTTAAATCAAGAATGCTTTTAATTTGGATTTCAGAATATTTCACATCTTTAATTTAAATTTTATGCTTATTTCTGCCAACTTTATGCATGAAAAAAGGTCCAAATGCAATGCATGAATTCCCTCTACATCATTCGAAAATCATCACTCTTGAGTTTTGAATAAAAATGAGAATTTTATTTATTTTAAATAGAATAATAAATAACAGAAACTAATTTAGAATATCACGCAACGTTTGCTTTTTCGAATTTTAGTTTTGGTAAAGATCGATTCAGTTATAAAGTGTTCATGGAAAATAAACAATATATGGAAACAGATATCGAAACTAAAAAAAAAAAAAAAAAAAAAGTAATATATCACTTAATATCAACAAAACTTTCCAAAAATAAACACATGGTCATGAAGTTGTCACGCACGAGTCACGTGACTCGGTGGTGTTTTTTCATTGACATACATGACTTACAGACCCAACAACCCCCTATAATACACACCCTTTCTTCTTCTTCCCTTTCCATTTCATTCAATTCTAAAGAGAGAGAAAGAGAGAATGGGATCCGATGTAGAATCCGACCCGATCTCTATACCAAAGCTCCAGCTCTTTTCCATGGCACTACCACGCCTCCCTGAACCATCTGGTATGCTAACGCCACCGCTTCAAACCTCAGCTTCCGTTCCCTTCCGGTGGGAAGAACAGCCAGGTAAGCCCCGACCTTGCACCGACCTCATCCTCCACACCACCACCACCGCCGTCAACAGATGCCTGGAGCTTCCTCCAAGACTAACAATGGTAGAATCCAACATTATTACAAAAACACCCTCACCCACCACCGTCCTCGACGGTCCAGGAGATACCGGTGGCGCTGGCAATGGCAAATCCATATTTTCATCGTCTTCCTTCAGATTCGCGAGGGAACGACGTCGTAAAGGGCAAAGACAAGGTTCATTTGACAGTAACTGTAGCGGTGTTTGGAGTCCCACCGACGATAGCTCCGGCGGTGGACATCAGCTGCTGCTTCCAGCTGGCGACAAACAAGAACAGCAGAAGGTTGGTAGAGGTCTTTTTGGATCCTTCAGGTTAAGGGGAAGCCATAAACCTAAGGATGTGAAGGATAGTTTTGTAATTTCACCATCTTCAGTGTATTCAATGGACACAGTTTTTTTGGAGAAGAAAGGGAAAAGGATGAGAAGAAATTCAAGCCTGTCAAAACTCACCAGGTCACACTTTTGGGTAAGCAATACAGACACAGTTCTATTTTTCTATGTACAACGTTTACTGCATGACGTACAAGTAGACATTGCATGAAAGTCGAGCTGTAGAAAAAATAAAAATATTTCTAATAAAGATGTGATAATAAATAAGTAAATAAAAAGGTTTGATTTTTATGTTTAATTAGTAAAAAAAAGCAGTTAGTGCATGATTAGGTAGGGAATGATTAGTTGTAAAACGTTTCATTCTTTTGATTTAAACTAAAGTTTAAACATAATTAGCGGACATTTGTATTTTGTAGTTTATACTTTAGACATTTGAGTCCCGAGTTTTACTTGCCCGGTTCGATTTGATTCTATAAAGTAGACCCGGTCCAAATAATGGTGAAGTGGACCCCTTTAAAAGAGTAAGTTTCAGATTATGAAACGTCAATCATAATCGCTGGCAAGTGGCAGCAGCAGGGGATGTACGCCACTAGTTACTAGTTAGCAAACATTTTCATTTTTAGTCCCTCAGTTATATTGTTACTCACATATTTCGTCCTTGAACAAAAAGAAAGTAATTTGTTAGTTATGTGTTATGCCTTATGATTAATGGTTTTGTGATTTGTGTTGTGTTTGTACAGACAGCGATATATGAAGGATTTAAGCAAGTAGTTCCATGGAAGAAGAAACACAAGAAGGAAAGCTTTCATGTATGAGAACATTTGTGTTGAGATCGATGTTTGTATTGGATTTTGATGCAAAATGTGTATGTATAATTATCGCCATCATCTTTATTTATATGTGTTACAAGAAATTAACACTACCAAGTACCAAGATATGTCCATTGTCGTTCTTTGCATTTTGTTGTTATGACTTGTGTTTGATAACTAGTGTAGTTAACGTTAATGCATGTACGGATGTATCACCATGATATAAATACTAATCATTTGAGATTTAAATACTCTTAAAATATAGTGGTATCAAGTTCCAATCTTACAAACTTCAATAAGGTATTTTGTTGTGATTTAAGACAACTTGTGGAAGGCCCAACCTATGACGGGTCATCCTTATTGGTTTAGAATTTAGTTGTCGGGACAGGTTATAAATAACTAATAAATTACTTGATTGTAGTGGTTAGGACTTAGGAAACGAATTTTAGGCCATTGTTGACCATTGAGCCTCTCTTAGTTGTATAAATAGTTTTGATTTCATTTAGTAATATAACACATTTAAAAAACGATCTTGAATCACCAATTCTTGATAAACTATGTGTCTTGACTTCTAGAGATTGTGATCTTGACTTTAACTTTCGTAATCTCGTCTCAATTTTTTTGGGTAACTTTAAGATTTTCGTATTCCATATTTTGTTTGTAGTTCTTCCAAAAAAAATGGTATCAAATCAATCTAATTTTGGAAATTTTCAGTTTCAACCTTCGGTCGGGGTCCTCACAAACCTACCATGTTGTCAAAATATTATCATGCAACAAAACATAGATATTTATGAGCATTTATTTTATCAGAATGTCAACCGATGCAAGAAAAGCATGTTGCAAAAAAATACTATAACAAATTTTTCGAATAACAACGAAATTCGATAGCGAGTCATCGCACCTAGAAAGGCTAAGGTTACATTTAGTTGTGGAAAAATTGGTCGTTTTTCGAAAAAAATTTCCAAGAAAAAATGAAATTTTGAAAACACGTTTAATTCGTCTATTTTTCTAAAAATTTTACAGAAAATGAAAATTTTCCGTTTACTAAAATTACGAAGAAGTTGAAAATTTTTGGAAACTCAATAATAATTGTTTTCCACATTTTTCTAATTCCAAATTTTTTCTAAAATATAAACACACACCACTCCCACCTCTATCTACCCCCACCTTAACACCCCCAACCCACGACACCCCTACCTACCCACTCTCAAGCCCACCCCCACAAACACACACGCACCCGACCACCCCCCCCCCCCCACACACACACACACAACCACACACTCACACTTACCCCCACAAACAAACACACACACACACACACCCACACCTACACCCACAAACATACATCCACACACACACACACACAAACACACACCCACAAACACCCACACCCACACCCACACCCACACCCATAAACACACAACCACACCCACCCACCCACACACACACACCCACACCCACAGCCACAAACACACAAACACACACACTCACATACACACCCCCACACACTCACACCCACCTCCACAGACACACACACACCCACACCCACACCCATATACACACAGCCAAACCCACACACACACACACACATCCACCCCCACCCCCACCCCTATAAACACACACGTACGAATACACACACTCAACACCACTACCACAATCACCGACCTACCATCACCACCATTACCCCCATCACCAGCATTACCACCACTGTCGTCGCCGCCATCACCACCTCTGCCACAATTGTAGCCGCCACCACTACCGTTGCCACCACCACCACCACCGTCGCCATCATCGACCCCACCACTGCCCCCCGCCCCTGCCCCACCCTCACCCTACCACCGCTACCATTTTCTAAAAATGAAAACCGATAGAAATATACACATCTAAACGTGTTTTCTAATTTTCTAAAACTAAAAATGAAAAATGAATATGTTTTAACTAAACGCGTTTTCTAAATTTTCCAATGAAAACTGAAAACGAAAAACGAAAACCGAAAAGGGAAAACGAAAAACGAAAAATAGAAATTGTTTTTCCGTAACTAAACGCAACCTAAATGGGGCTAGGGCACCAGAGGCGAGCCTACGTTATGATCAAGGGTATCCATGGACACCATTTGTTCAGATTTTCCTTCTACAAATTATATTATAATTTCCAATTGGACACCCTTGTGATTATAAGAGGGACACCCGAATAATGGAAAAGCAACAAACAAAACCAATATTTTTTACAGATTTGATATATCATTTTGCACTAAAAAAATAAGAGAAGAGGAAGCTAATTAATGTTAAGATGGTTAACAAAAATAAACAAATCTCCAACAGATAATAGATGTAAGTTATGGATATATTTTGAATTTGTGATCTCATAAAATTGTAATAATAGAGATCATAAATATTGAAGAACCCACCGCCACCATCTGGCCATCGACAGCTCTGCCCCTCTTCTCCGCCCTCTGCTACTTTTCTCAGCGCCTAAGTCGTCTCGCCTCTTTTTCCTTTGTTCTGTTGTTGTTCTTTGACTCTTGAGTAACTTGTAAGTATTTCTTTCTTTTCTTGTGTTGTGGGTGGGTTTGTATTGCAGAAAGAAAACATACAGTGGGTTATGGGGAAGACACAAATTAGGGTCTTGTCTAGACTATAGATGTACTAGAGAATAAAAATATATAAATAATGGAAGCACATTGTTTCTAGTGAGTAAATCGGTTGGACAAGCATGGTTTTTTTTACCAAATTGTTGGAATATCTTATATTTTGTTAATTTCTTTATTTTGTATTTATAATAGCTACATTTGTGATTTGTGTTAAAACTATCAAATAACTTGAATTTGATTCTCTTTATTATATATTTTTTAATGAAATATGCATTAGATAAAATTAACAACAACGAACATATAAATCATTTATAAAATATGAAAATTCGAGGTAGGATATTATTTTTTAGCTATGTTGAATTTTTGACATTATAACAACGAATTTATAAAATATTTTTAAAATATAAAAATTTGTTGTAGATTCGCCACTACCTGTCTCAACCCGAACCGAATCTATAACTAAACTTTTTCAACATGTTAGTTTTATTATGAATTAAGTTGGACACCCTTGACTTTGAATCCTGGATTCGCCACTATAGGGCATGCTTCATATTACTTCGAAATAAGCAATTTTTGGACTTTCGACAATAATTTGATTGTGAATTCATGACAAAATTGATACTTTATAACCGTATTAAATAAACATTTAAGGGTTATAATTTTTATATTTATAATTTTATCTAAACAAAATGCTCATGATCAGCCTGACTAAGAACCAGCTTTTTTGATTTGGTTCAAGACCGATTAAATACCATTTTTGTTACTTGGCCCGGTTTAATATCGGACCCAATTTAGTCAAAACGCAAATTATTTGATTCGCTCAAAACCCACCATTCTCAAGCCCAAAAATATGTATCAATAAGACACTACCTTTAAGGCTCTAACTCTAAGCATTTTTATTTGCCCTTCTAAATTCTAATAAATAATAAATATGTTTAAGTTATCAATCTTTCTTAAAACAAATTTTATGACCACGTTGCCTTCAGACATTCCGTCTTTTTGCAACTAAGAGATAGGACCCTATTAGAACTTTTTATAACAGTGTTCTAAGGCTCTAATAGACCCTTAGAATAGGTGCATATATAGTATTGGTCCCTGCTTCGGAACACCAACCCATACATGCTTTGCTACGAGGGCTTCCCTCCCTCACCTCATCTCCCATGTATGTAAGGAAATGAAAATTAGCCTTTTAGGGGCCTCTTTTCAAAATCTTTACAGGGTATGGAGCCAGTTCGGTCAGTATAGCGTACTAAAATAGGGGTCACCTGTGACATCCTTATTTTCTCAGTCAGAAAAGACCGATTTGTTTATGCTTTATTTGAAAACTAGAGTATCATTTTGAAGAAATATGTTGCGGAATTTGTTCCCAAAATATGATAAGTAATTTATCAAAGCATTTCTGAAGAAGTGTGTTTTCATTATATTAAAAATGTTGGGATGTCATTGTCAATACAATACATAAGCATAAACAGAAATAGTACAGGCCTTACAACATCTATTATTCTAATGGCCTATAATCCATTGATCTCTCATCAGATCATCACTCATGTGCTCTATGGCCACTACATGTAATACAAGAAACTAAGTGGGTCGGGCTTAGGATCCTGGTGAGCACATAGAGTTTTCAACCCACAATAATTAAGTTTATTAATTTTCATCAAATCAATCAACCCGATTACCCATTTCCCTTATCCCCACTTTTTGTCCCTAAAGCATCTAAATTAGGGGACCTAGCCTAATGATTTTCATCGGGATGGACAACACTGCTTTGGGGATTCCTCAACAATATATGTCAATAAGGCAACCATGAGAGAGATGGAGTACACCTGGTGAACACGTAGTTCAAAAACACCTACAGGTTGCGAGTCTGCCAGTGTTCCACTAGACTGTCTAAAATAGTCTGTGGTCGCATTTATACACCGCTAAATGATTTGATCCGCTTAAACATCGAGGTCTCTCATCATTTATTTCATCATCTATATCATCTACCCATCATAATTATAGGTATAAAATACATATACATTTTAAATTGAATAAAACATGTATATCTTGTTCATCCAGCATAGATATCATGTAAACAATAATATGCACACATAGCACGTAATTTATATTAAATACTTCATATCTATGTGTAAGATGAAAGTAACTTTGTACTCACTTGTTAAAGTGATGACTCCAAACTCGGGCAGCGCTTCGTTTCTAACAATTTTATTTTTCCTTCGACGAAACCTAGTATCATTATCACTATATTTTAGTCTAATATTTATTGCGACTAATTATTAGTGTAGATTAACTCAAGGTACGAGCAATATTGTTTTTCTTGTATTATATAAGTGTTAAACAATACTTTTCAACTATTATGTACAGACAGGGGCCAGACATGAAACACCGGAGGGCAAGACCATTTTGGCATTTAAGCTGTTCTAAAATCCAACAACCCTATGCGGCCCTTCAAACTAGATTCTCCGTACCGCGAACAGTTAAAAGGTATTATAATAACACTTTGTATAATTTATAATACTTAGCACATATATTGTTTATAGGTTCATAATAACGATAATGAACTTAAACATAAGCTATACTTAAAGTAAGGTAAGCATAACTTACTTACAAGGGGGTTTAGCTAGGAGTCGGGCTCTACGGGGGCGGAACTTCTGAGCCGAAAGCTCTTCTTCTCGGAGCCTTCTGGCGCTTCGGGACTTGCCTCTAGCACTTGGGAAGTGCTACGGAATGGGAGGGGCTAAGAGAGGTAATTGAGAGAGAAAGAATGGGAAAGGTGTGCATTTTTGGGGTGATCATCGCCTCTATTTATAGGTTGAATCATCGGAGTAACGATGGGCGTAACTTCGGAGTATGATGCGCGTACGAGGGGCATGTGTCGAAATCCGGTGCGAATCCGTGGAGAGAAAAGGAGGGTGGGGATCGCTCCACGTGTTAGTCTCGCATCAACCCATAATTTAATTAACTTCTAAATTCCGTAACTTTCGCATATGAGCTTTGTTTTTGACGTTCTTTATATCCACGCGTAGGAAGCGATGTGATCTACAACTTTCGTTTAGACTCCGTCGGCTAATTTTGACTTTATTTTTAAAGTTATATTTTAATAGGCTTAGACAGATAAAGTCCGTTAAAAATTCATAACTTTGTCATCCGACGTCCGTTTTCATCTGTCTTTATATCGTTGAGCTCCTATTAACAAGATCTTCGATTCACGTTTAGATTGTGCCGACTAAAAATCGATCGATCTAAAATTCGATTTCCGGGTTGCATATTGTTATGCCAAATCTTAGAAAATTCATAACTTCCTCTAACGAAGTCAGATTTGGACGTTCTCTATATGCACGCTCTCGGTTTAACGTATACTACGACTTTCGTTTAGATTGCTAAGGCTAAAAAGTATTTTATCGCAAACTCACTTTTTACGATATACAGTGTCGTGTCGGTTTTGTCGCAAAACTTTGTCGGGTCATAACTTCTTCGTTATAAGTCGGATTTCAGCGTTCCTTATATCCCCAAAATCCTTGTTGGGACTACTTCAACTTTCTTTATATATTTTTTACGTGTATTTTTATTATTTTTTTATTACATCATTATAAGCACGTATATTTCACATAAATCACATAATACTAAAATAATTATTATTCATTACTTCAAAATAGATTATTATTGTTGACCCTAACTATTACAAAATTATAATAATGCTTATTCCAGAAACATGAAAGTTACATCACCACTCCCTATTTCAGTGAAGACACTTATAACAACAATAGCAATATGTTGGGCCACTTCAACCAATGCCTTCTTGCCTTTTAAAGGCCAATAAGCTATAACCTCATGCCTCATCTTACTAGTCCATTTGTGCCCGTGAAGCCCTAAACTTTTTGTTATAAAGTGTTTTTTTTGACAATTTTGAAAACTTTAAGATTTTTTATTTTTAAAATAAATAAATAAATAATTTGTATGAAAATATGAGATTAAAATTTTTATTTTCACAAAAAATTATCTAAAAGCTAATTCAAGTAAAAGTAATAGTTTTTAATTTTTTTCTTATATGTAATTTTATATTTTTAAAAACTTTCAACTAGATTACCCAACATTACATCCAAATAAAAAACTTCCGATTAAAAATTAATTTTGTGAAACATATTCTTTCAACTAGATTACCTAACATTACATCCAAATAAAAAATTTCCGATTAAAAATTAATTTTGTGAAACATATTCTTAATATTTAACATCTCAAAAATCCTTTGTTGTAAATCTTTATAAATATTATATTTCAAGTTATATTTATGAACAATTTTAATAGTGGAAATTAAAGTTTTAAATTTAGTTTGATATTTTTGATAAAATTAAAGGTGGACGACGCACCAATGATGCATGAGGCGTGGTTGGAGCACCATCACAACGTGAACAAGTGATAGTGATAGTGATAGTGCTTACAGACCTTCACACATAAGTTCTCTTGTTTGGCGTCTCTTCACGGCTTGAATAGAACACAACACCTCTTAGGTGGTGGTGTGTGTTGTTGTGGCTGGTTGATACCAAAGAGGCTAAGTTAGTTTTGAAAGAGCATAGGTGATCAATCATTTACTTATATTAAAAGATAGTAAAAATGACAAACTTTAGGGTTAAATTTGTAACAGACCGGTTACTAAAAAAACCATAACCAAGAACTGAACTAGAAAGATAAAAGTATATACAAGGAATGGCTATATCCAAGAATCGAACTTTGTACACTTAATTAAGAGAAGCTTCAAAAATCAAACCCTAAAATCTCTCTAGATCAACATCCATCCCACTGTCCACCCAAGTAGCAAACCTGCACCAACGAGCCCTAATCCCATCGCAAAAACAACCGCATATTTCCCTAAATCATCTTCATATCGTCTGCTTCGTCTCTTCCCCTTCTTCATCTTCTTCTTCTGTAATTTCCCATCTTTGGATGGACAAACAGACAACTTTGGATCATTCATCTTCTTGTTCTTGATTTGGTAATAAAGATTTTCAAGTTGCAGAAGACGAATCCATTGTCTGCAAGCAAGCAACTCCGATGCCTGTCTCAAAACGACCTTCACCAAATCCTCTTTCTCCGCGTACGCTTCCTTCGCTGCGTTTTCTGCTTCTCTTGCTCGCGTTTGAGAATGTCTCAGAGCTTCCAATATAATTCCCCTGTTTGAATCACTCACAGGATTTGGTTTTTCTTTGATCATCTTTTCTGGCTTTAATCCCGGAAGATGACGATTCTCGACACAATCATGTGAATGTGATCTTTTTAAAACAACTGAACCTGAATCATCTTTTTCCGACGATCTGCCACCATGGAAGCGATACTTCGCCGTTCTTCTCAATCCCAACCCAGTGCTGCAACTTTGAGTCCTTGTTAATGTCCACTAACTCGAAAGATTCTATCGAGAGAGAATTGATACTACTACTACTACCATCTTGATTTTCGACGAATTGATGAGAATTGGTCAAACCCCTTTGGTATATATAATCAGTCTGCAATTGAAGCCACCATCTGGAATCCGGTGAGAGCTCGGAATACAGAGATTTTTCGTTGGGAAGAAGGAATCTTTCATTGCGATCTGTAGTAGTGTTATTAGCTGGTTTTATTTCAGCTTGTTTAGACGATGAAGATGAAGTTGAAGGACGACATGCTAATTTAGGGGCTCTTTTTGCATCTTCTTGGACGAAATATCGATTCGCCGTTCGTTGCCAAACTGCCCTTGCTTCGGCGGCGGCGGCTGCCATCAAACTGCTTCATAAAATAAATAAATAAATAAATAAAACGGCTGTTAAATTTGGGGAATTGAAGCTGTATCAAATCAGATATGCTTAACGTATAAAACCCACATATGAAATCCGATTGATTACTTAACGAAAGGGTGATTGAAACAGTGTACTAAATCTTCGAAAAGTAATCAACAATGATACAGAAGTACAGAACGTAAAAAGATTTTATTCTTATGATAATGACTACGAAGAACAGGGGGGAGTAGAGATTATGAGGAAGATGTAACTGAAAGTAAAGAATCTAACCTGGTACTGAGTTTCTTCTTCTTCTTCGTTCTTTTTTTTCTTTTTGGAGGAATTAAGAATTGGAATGAATCTTGGTTCTATATAAAAGATGATCACGATTCACCTCTCGAAGGTTTCCTAATCAATTTCCCCTATTTTGTCGGCCATGGATCAGAACAGAATTTCCCTACGAAAACGATGCCGTTATTATTTATGAAAAAACTTACCAAAAAAGAAAAAAATAATAATAAGAATTAAAATTAAGGAAAATAAGTTAAGACTTGGCATCCTGTACTCAGACACGTGGTTAAATTTACACTCCATACAAAGAGAAATAACATTACATTACATATATAAAAATACCAGTTTATAATCCGTGAAAATCACGGTTATAAAATTAATTCAATTTTTATAGCAAAAATTCATAATTATTAATCAATTATTTTAAATAAATTATTAATTAAGAAATATACCAAATTTTAAAGTTAGTTATAATTCAAATTTAACATATAACTAAAAAAGTAAATTTTTCTATAAAAATTTTAAAAACTATTATTTAAAACTTTAACCTCATTAATTGTGATAGTGATTCGCCTAATATATCTCTTTGACACATGACATAATATTTATATGGATGTGTATTAGAGTGACACATGACAAAAGAAGATTAAAACTATTCTTTTATTAGTATAGGGATAATTAGTGTTTTGACTTATGTTAAAATAATTTAATAAATTATATATATCTTGGAAGAAAGCATATATACCAACTTTTTGAAATTTTTATGAAGATAAACGAATGATGTTACACTTTCCTCACATTTTATTGGCAAATATCTTGTAATGTTGGACTAATAGTAATAATGAAGGTGTATTTGTTGAATCATATGTTGGTGTAATCTTAGAAGTATATAATACGTTGATACTTGATAGAGACACTTGCATAGTCCACGACTCCACCTAACGTATTAAACCGACAAAAGAAAAAAGATAAAACTCAATCATGTATGATTGAACAACAAATCGTGATTAGCTATGTCACATAAATCTCTAAATTACAGGTCTAAAATCGAAATATAAAACCAATTGTACCTGATTTTATATTTGAAATAGACTAATAAGTCAAGTCTTTTTAAGTTTATAATTATATAACAATTGTGTTTTTATTAATGTTTTAAAAATTGAATATTATAATTAGATCAATGTTTTTATTAATTTTTTAAAATTGAATATGATAATTAGACCACGGTTATTTACTTATTTACGTATACTGGATCAACAAACCAAATTAGCCCAACTGATTTTTTTTTTCACTTAAATGTTAATTTGATGAATATAATTCCTTCAAATATAATTTTAAATTGCATGCAATCTCCTTCTTATTACCTTTTATATACATAAATCCTTAACGATTTTTTAAGTCTGTTGTTCAAATTGATTAAATGATAATAACTTAGTTTACACAACCTTTCCTAATTTCAAATTTTATTTATTTATTTATTTATGAGATTTTCTAATATGTGCCCTAAGAGCACATATAAGAAACATTAATTAATGATAAATATTACCATAATTAAATGTAAAATACATTAATTATAAGGAATATTACCATAATTAAATGTGAAATTCATTAATAATCTCCATAATAAATGGGAGTTGATCCGTACACAATAATTTTTCTCCATACACAACAATTGGTGCTTTAAAATCTTGTATTGTACAACTATATAATGCATGAATTGTTGTATATGACAAAAAGCTGTTGTGTACGAATCACTTCCCATAATAAATGTATTTTGAATTTAATTATGGTAATATTTTCCATAATTAATACTTTTTATATGTGCCCTTATTAGAAAATCTCTTTATTTATTATACCTCAAACATCACATCCAATGTCACCGGTTAAACCTTAGTTGTCGATCCCAAACTTAAACTCCTCAACTATTCGTCATTCCCTTTCTTGCATTGCTTGTAGATTCCAAATTTTAACACTAATGAGTCATCCGCTCAAATAATATTGGCTACAATCTTTTTGAAGAGAAATGTCGAGTATAATAAGTTTTTTTTTTAATTTATATTTTAACAAACCATATAAATTCGTTTACTATGCTATATTATTCGATTTGTCACGTGACATGAGTTGATGAAATTGATATTGAATCCATTATAATAATAATAATAGAATATCATATCTTGTTTCAATATATGAAAGAAGACGGATTCAAAACTCATAAAACGGTCAGATATTAATGAGTTAAAAGAAAACTAAAAACTAAAATAACATGTTGACTAATAATTAAGCCCTATTTATACTAGTTAATTCTAGCATATTTGGTTTTTGACTTTCTTAGTTATTGGTCAAAATAGAATGATTGAACTTGGAACATGCAAAATGTTATTATTCGTAATTTTGTCATGATAGAAAATAAGTTTTCAAGAACCGACTAAACACATAAAGTTTTAGCTAAATAATTCATCAACATCATTTAAGAAACAAAAAACAAAGAGAAGTGGTGAAAGGGCGGATGATGAGTCAAATCACAATAGATAAAAAAAAATTGGTGTGGTTTGGATTGATTCAATATACTTTATATCTAGCTTTTTTAAAACAATATCTCGGAGGTTGTATATATATTAAACTCATAGTTAAATAGCCTATTGGTACATCCGTACATATTCAAGATATTTTGTTACGGTTGTTACCAAACTAATACGTAGCATATCTTGCAACTTTTTAGACACAATCAAAACAGTACACTTTTATTTTTGTTTTTACTTAAGGTACTACATTTATTTTGTTTCTATTTACATTTATTTTATAATATATATATATATATATATATATATATATATATATATATATATATATATATAGTTTTGATTTGTAGAGTTCAAAGGATTATAAGAAAAGTTATATAATGAAATGTTCATGTGATAACTTACTAAACTTAATAGAGTTAAATACATTGTGAAGGATGTTGTATCTTTTTATATCTTAACAAGTAACAAATATCAAAGTTAATTTATAATAGTAGTAGGACAATAAACAAACAAAAACATTCTTTGATGAGTAAATAAGCGAGATCCTGTTCATGCATTTGATTATGACTTTGACTTGTACGTTTAAACAAGTTCTTTGAATGCTTCACGCAATCTTCTTATCATATTAAACTTCACAACATTTCCTTCTCAACAAATCTACTATTATAAAGCAGAGATCTTTCCCTTAAATAAATATATAATCTTTTCCTTAAAAAGATATAGCATTATAACTATAAAGACATTTAAAAAAACGTTTTTAAACAAAAATATAACTAAAAAGAACCTATAAATGATGATCATAATCAAAACAGTTACGAATTCCAATCTTTCAATTGGCTATTGTGATTTGTGAAGTGAAAATCATTACGGAAGGTGAATTACATGATTTACTTACCCTATATACACACACTTAAAAAAATACCGAAAATACCCATGTCATAAATCTCTAAGTTGAACCAACTTAACAGAACCATCTCCCCCACATGAAAGAAACCCATTTGAAACAACTTGAATATCTGTCACAGCAGCCTGCAAAGTTTCAAACTTTAATCATATATTCAAGTGTGTACATACACCATAATCATATCATATTATATATATTTAAAAAAAAAAAAAAAAAAGATTACCCTAACTACCCCTCCAAAGCCTCGTGAGGTAGGTTGAAGAAACGTATGTCTATCATGCAATTTTGGCCAATGATATACCAACTTTGCATTCTTAGCATCCCAAAGCTTCACATCTCCATCTTTACTTCCACTTAAGAAAAAACTCGTATTTGGAATCGCTGCTATTCTAGTAACACTCCCTACACACACAACTTAATCTGGTTAACTTAATACAGAAAGAACGACTTAATACAGAATGAAAAGAAAGTACCTGAGTGGGCCTTTGGTATGTACCAAACCATCCCGTTCCGATTGTGGTCCCCATGTTTATTTTGTAATCCAGCAGTTGAAGACGCGTTAAATTTTTGTTCAACATTATCAGAATTTTTATTCCGTTTTTGTCTTCCTGTTGCTATGTAACGAAAATCATGAACTCCAATATCTCCACCTTTTCCACCCGTTACAATAAGTGGAGAAATAGATCCACTTCCTATATCATTAGCAAAGACAGAAAGAGATCTCGCACCACCTAAAATCACACAGATTTAGACCTAATTAATTTAAATCATCAAATCTGGAAAGGGTATAATAGGGAATAAACCTTCATGACACATGATGGAAGCGCGAGATGTGGTAGGTGGAGCAAGTGTATCCCATATTACTACATTTACATTGTTTGAGCTATAACCTGCTGCAGCAACAATCGATCCACTTGCAGTCACATACATCACATCCCTGCAAATATACAATATAATTTAATATAAGATTTTTTATTTATTTTTTTTTTTATTGGAGTGATGAGAAAGAATAACATACGATGTGTAGTTGTTGAAACATAGAGATGATTCAGTAGGACGAACATTGCTTCTTCCTCCAACCTCAAGCTGCCACGTGCACACTGTACCATCTAATGCAGCTGTAGCAAATCTTTGCCCACAGTGATCAAATTGTACGGCTGAGATTGAGGCAAGAGCATAAGGTGGTGGGACATTTGCAGCAGGAAGGACTCCGTATGTAGCTGTAGCTGTGTTTTTACCAAACTACCCCCGAAAACAACTATTAATTACATACAAACCACAAAGAAATGGAATTTGATGATAAAATCAAATGTGTGTAGTACTGTAGTAGGTTGCTTGCTTACCTCCCAAAGGTAAACATGTGTATTGCTTGAACCGACTAAGAAGAAAGGTCTAGAAGGGTGACTTGAAAAAGCCCTAGTTCTGATATTATCTACAGTTGCAGGTGGATCGATGAAATCTTCAAAATCTTCTTGGATTTCCCAACCGAGACTTGATGTATTTACCCCTCTGATTCCGGGTTTTGCTAAACCGACTCCGATTGTGGCTCCTCCTAAGCCGAGCTGTGTGCCTTTCCGGCTTCCAAGACCGATTCCAGGGGAAACACATGTCGGGACGGGAGTGGATTCGGATCCTGCCCACCCGTCTGTTGGCCAATCGACATCTGTCCAGATGTAGTTGGACTTGTCAAAGCAAGTTCGTCCATCTTCAAAGGTAAAAAATATAATCCCCTTCTTATTGCTAGCGATTGCAGCTTGCTGTTGATCGATGGAATTGATGCATAATGCCTGTTCGATTGAAAACATCGGGAATCATGAATTCTTTTGCATGGAGAAATGAAGAAAAAAATATGAAGCGTTTACTACCTCGAGAAGTTCTCCGTTTGCTTTCTGTACTTCTTTCGGTTTCTGGAATGGAATCGTGAATTCCGTTACAGGAGATGAAATCCCATCTTGATTATCGTTTTCAGAAGCTTCATGATCACCTATGATGTCTGCATACGTGTCACTCCATCCTTTAGAGTGTTTCTCTTTGATAAGCTTCGACCATTTGGAATATTCCACCACAAAATCTCCACATAACATTCTATGATTATCAAACACATTCCAAAGTAGTTCAAAATCTGATAATCCATCTTCGTTACTCATTATTCTAGAAAAGTCAACTCCTTGACCAAGATTCTGAAAAGTGGTTATCGGTGTTGACCTACACACATCTTCTAACCAAAATATTATGGGCTCGTTTGACTGGTCCCTCCCTTTCTGCAGTAAAAATGACGCAAGCTCTTTTGCACAATAAGATATGGAATCCTCTGATTCCAGTTTTAGTAACTTGGTCAATTCCACTGAGTAATTATCTTCAAGATTCTCCGGAATGGAATCAATTTGGTATTTCAGAAATCCAGACATGAGTCCCCACAAAAAAGCGCGTATGATTTGCCATTTATAGCTTTCGGGCCCCACATTCATTTTATTGTGACATACCAACATGGCTATTTCCGGAAGGATCTTCTTCAAGGTTTCCATGTTAGAAGCATAGGATGAAGAAGATGAAGATTCATTGGAATATGTAAGGAGAATTTGTTTCAAAACAATAATGAGACTTCTAGAATCTTTTTGGAACCAAATGGATGCGAAATATATGTAGTATTCACATAAATCAAGAACGAATAAGGGCGATTGTGGAAAGCTTTGCAATTTCAGCCCATTTCTTATCTTTGACACCATCAGCAAGAGATTCTTCATATAAATGGAATGTGGTTTTGTCTCAGAGCAAGTCATTCTACAAAATATGATATACCTTGAAAATAAATAGGAAAAATCTTTAATGGACTTCAGAAGGACAGCTGGCAGTGAAGGGTAAGATGGATTTCTGTGTGAAATATCTTCAGAAGTGTCATGTTGCAATATATCACAAGCAATAAACATGAGGTCCTGGTTGTATAAATAACCTGTAATCTGAACAATAAAGAAAAATAAAAGTAAGTTCAAAAAAGACACAATAGAATGCTCAATATAAAATATAAAAAAAAATACCATGTTAATCAGATGATGGCGATTTAAGGAATACTTTTGCTCAAAATAAGCAAGCCCTGTGTTTAACTTCTTTCCAAAATTAGAAAGCAGTGTGTTATACTGAATAGCTTCAGTCTGGATATTTTCTGGCCAACTTGGATGCTCTGTTAACATATTTGAAATGTATTGCATTGCAAAACTGTATTTTGCATGTGAGAGCATACGCAATGCCACGTCAGCAGATACCCAATTTGAAGAAGATGTAGATGGATTCAGGCTCTCATTCAGAATTTTGGATTCTGAATTATCTAATGCACTTTGAGTTGAACCACTGAATATGCTGTTAGAAGTTGCAAGGCACTCCAAAGCTTCAAGCTAAAAAGAACAAAATAGAATATTCCAGAAACATCAGCAAATGATTTTAAAAAAATAATAAAAAAAAATTGTAAATAGAGATGAACTTACAGGTAAACCACATCTGCTTAATGCAGTAGAGCTCATTAAGACACCCCATCTGACAATAATTGAGGTATTTTGTTCTCCAATAGCATTTTTCATCTGGTTTTTGTTGGTCAACATTTGACAATATTGACCAATGCTTGGATCTATAAAGGCCAAGTTATTGCTTGAGAAATCCATTTGGTCACCAATTAAACTTAGATAAGATTTATAGTAATTCCCCAATATCCACTGAAAAAATACAGAAAGTTTATCAGATACTCTTTTTTAATTTTAAAAAAAAAAAAAAGTAAGAGTTATATCTAATGTTATCACCTCAAGGAAACTTGATTTCCAGTAGTCACCATTTTCATAAGCGGATGGAAGCAGAAACTTTGATGTAATATAATGTTCTGATGGACCATTATACCCTTCAAGAAGACGACAAATCACAAGAGCAAGTTGTTCATCTTTAAGAGTTTTTGCACATACATTAATAGCAGAAGCAGTATCACCTCCAAGCAAAAAGAAAGCTACAGCAAGCTCCAGCTGATGTCTTCCCATTAACACATAAGCATTTTTCAAAGCAGCAGCTTTATTTTTCTCCTCCTGTACAAAATCAATTCAACTTCATTAACATCCAATAACTATATAAATTACTTTTATTCATCTTTTTTTTTTTTTTAAAACTAACCTGAAAATTACGTGAAAGAAATGCCACCAGTGGCTTGTCTTTTTCATCTTTACTGATTTTAAAAAGACCTGCCAAAACTTGTATCCTGTTTAAAGCTATGTAAAGAAGTGCACAAGCTTTTGGATCCCTGTTTTTTAAAAATTGCTGTTTTGCTAGCCTCTCCATCTGCAATTTTGTCCAAAGTTATAAAAAAATATGCATATTAAGTAACTATATAAAATTAGGGTTTATAAAAGTACCTTGACTCTCAACTGTGATTGATTTGTGTACCAAAATCCAACACCCATGGTTCTCATTTCATCCCATGATGATTCATTATTCAGAAGTGATTCAAACAAACTTTCTTGACAATCGGATTGGAAAGCCCAAGCGATAAGGGATGAGTTAATGACCAAATCGCCCTTGGATGGTGGTCTCCCTAGTCTTCTCACACAATAAAGCTGCTGAAACCTTACTGCAATCCAGAACCTTCTACCAGGTATGTCAAGACCTTCATATGGTGATGATGTGTTTGAATTACTAATTTCATCAAGAAGATCAATAACAGCAAGAATTTGCATCTTTTCAATGTCTGAAAGGTCATGTAGCTTCTCAATGGAATCAGTGAATCCACTCAATCCAGAGTTTTTAGGACTGGAATCGATTGAATTGCTAAAACCATTGGAATTAGAATCCCATGTGGATGTGTTTGAATATGTGTCACCACTCCATTTGAACGCTTTATTGTTTGAATTTTTCAAAATTAGTCCTTCAAGATAGTCTGACAAGCTCATTTGTGGGATTCTAGGGTTGGTTTTCAAATCCTTGTTATTTGTAAGATGTTCAAAGAGATGACTCAGTGCACTTTGTGCACGTTTCCAATTTCCTGAATAAATATTCACCAAAAGAGCTTCAGGGTGATAAGTAGGAAGAGATCCACCAACATTTTCTGCTATTTCCAAAACACTCCTTACACCAATACCTGTATTATTGGTATTATATTTCTGTTGATCTTTCAATGTCAAGTTTTCAAAAGCATGAGTATCAGAATCATAAATAATTTCAGGGACCTTACATCCATCTGATCCACCATCTGGAAGTAACCACTGGCTGAAAAGACAAAAGTAGTCATCATGAACAATCACACCTGTCGCTTTAGGTCCCCAAACAAAATCACGGATACAAGGGCGAGTTTGTCTTTTTGCAACACAAAACCAAATATTTCTATTTTTATTTCCATCCTTGGATTTTTCTAAACTTACACAACGCCTCATGGTATACACATGCACTTCATTCTGCAAGCAAACTCCAAGCAGAAGTTGACCATTACCTATAGTCAACCAATCTAAACCAACAACAACACCTCCATCAAGATTTATTGTATCTTCAAGTAAAAAACTCCCAGTTCCTCCAAGATACACACATTCCCATATATAAAGAGTGTTACTGTTGTTGTTGGATAAAGTTGCAATCTTTCTACCACAATCAGTTGAACTTATTTTCATAATTGGGCCCACATGAGCAGCAACTTTACCTACTAATTCCCATTCTTGATCCATACTTCTCCATAGTTTTAAACTACCATCAAAAGATCCAGTAATTATATGATATGCAACAGAATTGTCAAACATTTCATCAACAAAACTTTTCTCCTGTTCTTTAGATGAAGAGAAGTTATACATACTAACCACAGAATAGCTTGTAATGTTATCATGGTCGTATGGATCTGGAAATGTAGATGAACAACGGTCAAAGTCAATACTGTATTTACACTCGCCACCTGGCGTATCTGAAGGATGAATTGTAACTTTCCATGATAATGCACGGAAGTGGTCCTTCTCTTTCCATATAGCTAACACCATGAATTTGTTATACAAAAAGGTGTTACATGTAGAAGTCAAAGGAAATGAAAAGATACTCGTGGGCCCATTTTCATCACAATCAAAAGGGATAGTACATAGTTTCTGACATGATATCAAGTCTTCATTTTCACAAGCTTCAACTAAAAAGCAATCTATGCCTCTTGAATGTCCCATTAGTAAAACCCTGTGATCATCTATTAATGAAGGGGCCCACCTCAAGCTAGTGTATTCACATTGAGAATCTTGGGCTACAAACTCTCCAGAAAGCTTGAAGCCAGAACTCAAAAATGACCAAAATAGAATCACTCCATTAGCATCCAAAGAAACAGCAAGTTCAGGGTAACCTCCATAAGGATGCAATGCAATTTGTAAAATCTTTCCAGTGTGACCATTTATGTTTAAAGCTCCATTAGCAATAGACAAAATCGAATCCGTTGTATTTGATGTGTGTTTATGAAATTGTAACCACTTCAAATGATTATTAGGTAATAAGTGAATTACAGAGCATACATCTGGTGGGCCAAAGAATCCGTTTCTTGATATGAAAGATTTGTTTAGTAGAAAACTTGTTCCTGTTTTGGAACCTGTTAACTCTTGCTTTTTCCACATTGTAACTCGTGGGAATCTAAGTGGTGAAAAATCATCAATACAATGGATAGCCCAAAAGGTCACCATCATTTGAGGACCAAAAGAAATTAACCAATCACATTTCCCAGATTTACCATGGTGATACTCTTCTGAAGGAAAATATTGAGTACCCTTTTTACCAATGTTAACAATACCATCAAGTTCAGTGGCCCATCTTATGAAAACATCACAACCCAGAATGCCATTTAGGGTTTCATTTATCTCAATTGTGGCAGCAACTCGAAAAGAGGATTGGTCTTTATTGCCCTTCCCTGTTGTCTTCCTGGACTTACCATCATCAATCTCACTCCATAATCTTACAGTTCCATCAGCACAACATGTTAGCAAAACCATCTTGAGGGCATTTGTGGGTTTCTTTTTCCATTGGTTTGCTACTAAAGGTCTCCATTGGATCATGGAAATGGGGACATGATGATGGAGCTCAGATTTGATGCATTTTGATTTTCCATGACCAATTAGTACAGAATTGTTGGTGTCTTTATTTAGAGGTGCAGTTGCAAATGGGCCTTCGATTGATGAGGTGGCAGAAAGTAAAGCTTGAGGGAACTCGGGTGTGAATTTCCAAGATATTTCCCAAGAGAGGTTTTTCTTTTTCCATAAGACAATGTCGATTCCAACTGAGATTAATCCGTCTCCTGAACCTGTCCATTTAATGGCCTTGATGTTTGTGGCTTGCACAAGGATTGCAGTCTGGCTCCAACAAAAAGAACCTGAATATGAGTAAGAAAGTTCAAATGTACAACATCCAAGTTTGGGAGTAAAAGAATAAGCTTTTCAAGGTAATAGATGTATCAAAGTTAAGGATGTTTGAAATGACATGTTTTGCATTAGTACTTTACTCAAATGAGAAATGAAAAGCATATATGGTGTTGGTTATGTAAAGGATGCATATAAGCTCTTGAAAGTAGCCAGCTTTGTATAATTAATCCAAGAACATTTAGATATCAAATGGTTTCCATCGGCAGAAATGGAAAGCTATCACTATGAAAAAAGTAGCATAACTTTAAGCTTAATATTCAAATATGTTTGCATATACAGCAAGGTTCTATACTAACTAACCTTCTGAATTATGTGAAAATACTCCAACACGGTTGTCCAAAGAGGCTGCTACTTCTCCAGACGACAGCACAGACGGAGACCATGAAACCGCAGAGACATCCCCGGAGCCGTCGGAGGAAAGTTCAATAACTTGCCGGAAAAAGGGATCGACAGGGCTTTCGTTGTTTTCAGAAGGAGATGGAAAGTGAGAGATCACGAGAAGCGACGAGGTTGCGTAGGCAATCCATGCGTGACCTAGGTAGTCCGGTAACCAATCGATGGCGGATTCGGTTCGGGTCGGAGCAGGAGGGATAGTTTCCGATTTGATCAGTTGGAAGGGTAAGTCGAGGTGTGTCAAATCGAATGCCGCATCTGATTTGGTGCTTAATTGGGTGGCGGCGGCGGAGGAGGTGGCTTTTCCGGCGCCAGTAGTTGGCACCCGCATTGGTTTCTGGCCGAGGAGAAGAAAAGAGAAGCGGCAGGATGAGTGTTTACCGGTGGTCAGACTGCCGTAACAAGGATCATGGGCGATAAATGAAAATAATGTCACATTTCCGGCCTCAACGATTACATATTTGTTGCCAAAAAAAAAAAACATAAATAAAAAAAAAAACAAAAAAACTTTTTTTTTTGTGTGTAACTTTTTAAAATGGAAATATCTTAAAAAACAACTCTAAGGTTTTTATGTAAAATATTATAAATTATTTATTTATCAAGATTAAAAAATGGTTAGGAATTCTAAAAATAATTTTAATTTTTTTTATTAAGTACATTTTGGATAAATCAAACATTAATATTATATGAATCAAACTATTTTGCATAGTTTACAATCAGATGTCACTTGTCGTCGGACCATCGTCAGACCACCGTTGTATTTTTCTGGTCGTATTCATAATTCGGTAGAAAAAACATAATAGCTCCCAATTCTCTGGTAATAAACATATTGATTCACTAATTTACAGTTCAAAATATCATATTCATAATTTAATAAACATATTAATTCACTAATTCATAACCTATTGTTTTAATGCATACATTTATTCATATTTTAACACAAAATTTATATAAAATACACAACTTAATATAGTCTATTCTCACTATATTACATAGAATTCACAACTTAATACAATTTGTTATACACTAACTCACATATTCAAAGAAATCAAACACAAACTCTACCACTACCAACTACAACCTCTCCACCAACCACCTGTGCCACCGGTACAACCATCATTTGTAATGTTCCAAAATTTATAGAGATATTTTTCATTATAAAATAGATTAACTAATCAAAACCTTTATCTCAAAAACCGTTGAGTGACATTTGTCTGATTGAAACAACACATTATCAAAGTTGAATTTACAAAACCACAGAAACAGATATATTCGATGCGTGTGTACAGTCCCGTCGAGCTCTACTTACGAACAACCTGAAAAACATTTTTTATCCACAACTGTAAGCATAAAGCTTAGTGAGTTCCCCAGTATACCACATATTCCACCATACATATAATGCATCCACATAAAACCAATGGCTCGAACGTCGAGCAACCGAATCTCCTATCCACATACATATATCATACGTAACGGCCCCAACCCAAGAGTGTAACGGGCCCCTCCCAACTCATATAACGGGCTCTGCCCATATACATAACGGACCTCGCCCAACTCATATAACGGGCCCAGTCCGACATACACAACATGTCAATGTCAAGGGTTATATCCTGGTCTTCCATATAATACATAAGTCATATAGTGATGGATCAGATAGACAGTCGAACAGGTGATCCACCCAAAAGCAATAAATCAAACAAGAACTATGCAGTCAAACATTAGACCAAGAGTTCTCATGTTATCCAACTTAACTACATATAACCACCAGTGTAATAATTCAACAAATAGTCACTACTATCATTACCCTAACCAATTATGACACCTAGAAATATAATATAATCCTCAGGTAAGACTCTATCAGTTTAGCATACCATGACACCAAGTGTGTAACATTAGTTCTAGGTAAATAATTCCCTTGAGTTTATGGCAATTAAAATTTTAAATTGTGGATTTTGTGGTGGCCACGACGTGGTGAAGGATGCAACACAACGTAGTCATAGCCAGAGGAAACGCGCAACGTTTATGCGCACCAAAACATGGCAAGATCCTGACCACGATGTGGTGGCTACCAGAGTGCAAAACCCTAATTTTGGGGGTTTTGGGCCTTTTTAAGGGATGTGATGACTAGGGTTTGCACACCATCAACCTCCTGTAGGGTTTTGAGCATTCTAACACTCCTATGGTGTGCATGCAACCCTAGAAACCTTGGATCTATGTTTTCTCTATTATACATGCAAACTTTCTTTTTCCAAGGTTTCATCCTAACTAGCATGTGATTGGGGTACATGTAATATAAAAGTAGTAGGATAGCATACCTTTTCTTATGGTTGATTGCTTGGAGCTTCAAGAGCCTAACACCAATAATGTGAATGCCTCAAGGGGAATCACAAATCACCAAAACAACTTGGAAGACTTTGAGAGAATATGATGCACTCTTGAAATCGGCCCACCCTTGTTATCTCACACACTAGAGTGGCCTGATTTGTGATGCCTTAGCCTAGGAGATTACTGCTATTATGAGATACTTCGAGAGTGAGTAGGTAGCAGCGAGGAGCTTATGAGTGGTCTACTGGAAGGTAGCCTGTGTTTAGGGAGATATAGAGTACTTGTGATCTGGGATCCTAGGAGGAGGACTTGGGGTGAATGTTGATGCGTTGTGGAAGGTAGTATAGGGCCCGTACTATTGGAAACACCGGATCAGTGAGCAGTCCAAGTAAGAATCCTTAGGGTACTAACGAACAGGTAGGGTTGAGTATCGAGTGCGAGTATACTCGAGCGATGTCTCTGATCTCTTTTGTGTTGTGTTTCAGAGACATCATGGTTGGGACACGCCACACACCAGGGGGCAGCAGCGTTAGCGACGAGGAGATTCGTCGGATGATTCATGACGAGGTGGCCGCGACGATCCGGGAGGCCATTCCGGAGATGTTTGGGTCTATCAATACCATGCTGATTGAGACGTTTGATGAGAGATATGCTGCTGTTATTGAGACGGCTGCTGCTGCAGCCACTACAGCTGTCGCTGCCGCGAGGCCACAGGGGGGTGACTCGTTGCTGTACCGAGAGTTCAACAACACGAAGCCACCAGAGTTTGATGGGACTCAGGATCCGATAGCCGCGATGAGGTGGATCTCTGACATTGAGGGATGCTTCTACACCTGTTCCTGTCCAGAGCATCTGAGAGTACGGTTTGCGCTGAACCAGCTTCGCTTGGGAGCGAAGGACTGGTGGAAGTTTGTGACGGCTGACTTCACTCCTGCAGAGATTACAGCGGTGACCTATGAGAGGTTCACCACCATGTTCCGAGATGAGTATGTTCCCCCTGTGGAGAGGGAACGTCTAGCCCAGGAGTTCTTGTCCCTAAAGCAGGGGACGAAGTCTGTGACTGTGATTACACGGATGTTTCACGAGAGGGCGTTGTTTTGCCCTGAGCATGTGTCTACTGAGCAGGCACGCATGAGTCGATATCTGAGCATACCGAGGAGAGACATTCGTGAGTTCGTGGCGAACTCGACATACCGGACATTTGCCGAGCTCCAGGCAAATGCCCAAAAGAGGGAGATCGAGCTAGATACTCAGGCCAGGGAGGAGGCCGAGTCTTAGAGGAGGGATAGGCGGCCGACACAGTCTCAGCCGGCAGCCAAGCGGGCAAAGCCCGCTGATTCGAGATCTGGAGGACCGAGGGGCCGCACTTGTGGGAAGTGAAGCAAGAGCCATGAAGGAGTTTGCAGAGCGGGGGTGTGCTACACGTGTGGAAAGGAGGGGGCATCTCGCGAGGGATTGCCCCAAGGGGTTTGCAGTTTGCTTCCACTGCAACCAGACTGGCCATCGGAAGGCCGAGTGCCCACAGCTACTTCATGGATCAGCACAGGGATCTGCACCTGCTGCTAGAGCTACCGAGGCCCGACCAGCGAAGGTCGAGGCACTGAAGGCTCGCGGGAGAGCCTTTCAGTTGACAGTAGAGGAGGTCCGCGCAGCGCCCGATGTCGTGGCTGGTATGTATTCATTTATTTACTTGTACTGAGTTTGAGATATTGTTCTTATATTGTGGTGTGCATAGGTACTTTTCTTGTGAGTTTTGTACCTGCTTTAGTGTTATTTGACTCGGGTGCGAGTTGATCTTTCGTGTCATTAGCGTTTAGCCAGCACATCAGTATCCGACGAGAGGCGTTGAGTCGACCTCTGCGAGTTTCTATAGCCGATGGGCGAGCGGTGTATGCTACTGATGTGATTCGAGGATGTGTACTTGAGATTTTCGGTGTTGAGTTCCCGATAGATCTGGTTCCGATTGCGATGGGGGATGTCTGTGTCATCATGGGCATGAACTGGTTGAGCCGATTTGGAGCTGCCATCGACTGCGAGCGTCAGTTGGTGACCATACGAGACCCTGGTGGGGGAGTACTTACGGTGTATGGCGAGGGTACCCGATCTGGGTCAGCATTTTGCTCGGCTGACAGAGCGAGACAGAGTCTACAGCAGGGCTGTAGAGGGTTTCTAGCCTATGTGATGGATACATGAGTTGCCGCAGAGAGGCCGAGTTCTGTCGGTGAGGTTCCGATAGTGCGAGAGTTTCCGGATGTTTTCCGCGAGGAGTTGCCGGGTGTGCCTCCCGAGAGGCAGGTGGAGTTTCGCATCGATTTGGTTCCGGGGGCGGCGCCTATTGCCAAGGCACCCTATCTCCTTGCGCCACCGGAGATGCAGGAGTTATCCTCGCAGCTTCAGGAGCTGTTGGGGAAGGGATTCATCCGACCGAGTAGCTCGTCGTGGGGAGTGTCGATCCTTTTTGTCAAGAAAAAGAATGGTTCACACCGGATGTGGATTGATTACCGGGAGTTGAACAAGTTAACGGTCAAGAACTGTTATCCACTACCGAGGATCGACGATCTGTTCGATCAGTTGCAGGGAGCTTATTGGTTCTCCAAGATAGACTTGAGGTCTGGATATCACCAGATGAGGGTGCGGGATGAGGATATCCAGAAGACGGTGTTTAGGACTCGTTATGGGCATTATGAGTTCATGGTGATGCCTTTTGGGCTCACCAATGCACCAGCAGCGTTCATGGATCTCATGAACCGAGTATGCAGGCCGATGTTGGATCGCTCGGTGATTGTGTTCATCGACGATATTCTAGTGTATTCGAGATCCAGGGAGCAACATGAGGAGCATCTGAGGGAGATTCTTGGAGTATTAAGATCGGAGAGGCTTTATGCCAAATTCTCCAAGTGTGATTTCTAGTTACGAGAGGTCCAGTTCTTGGGACATCTCATTAATCAGAATGGGATATTGGTCGATCTGGCCAAGATTGAGGCTGTTATGAGTTAGGAGGTGCCGAGATCCCCCACCGAGATCAAGAGTTTTCTGGGGTTGGTCGGCTATTACCGAAGATTTATCAGGGATTTCTCCAAGATTGTTGT